TTAAAAAAAAAAGAAAAAAAGACTCACTGTGTTAAAATGGCCACATCGTCTGATTTCATAGGTAAGAACTGCCCCTACTGTGGAGCTGTGGACAGTCTGCAGGTGGATGAGGCACTTGGTGAAGTTGCCTGCACAGAGTGTGCTCTTGTAGTGGCGATGGGCCTTGAAGAGAATGAACTCACACGGTTTAACAAGGATGCCACGTATGATGATGTGGACCGACACCGTGAACCAGAGAATGATGGATTTAACGCCCAAACATCTCAAAGTATTGCCGCCGCGGCTTTAGCCTCCTCAGCGGGAACAGGCAGTGGAGTGAATGTATCTAAAGTAACACTTCACCCAGCCATGTTGAATTGTATTCGTGGTCTACAGAAGAAGTCTGCTGTGCAGGAACAGGTGATTGGACGGGCGGTGGATCTTGCCAAACACGTTGTGGGTGGGCGACGGGCACGTGGACAACGCGTGGAGCGGCAGAATGATATTGCCGCCGCGTGTTTTATGATTGCAGCTGAGCAGTTAAATCATCCAGTGCCCTTGGCAGAATTGCGTTGTTTAGATGCGTCTCTTGGGGATGTGGAGTTTCGTCGGGCGGAGATTGTGCGGGAATTACACATGGAGGAAGAGGAACGTCGGTTAAAGACCTGTTTTGTGGATAACTTACTGACAACCTATATACTGAAATTGGGATTACAGGTCTCTCTCTATCTTCCACAGTGTAAACGATTGTTGGAGGCTATACAACGCGTAGACACATTTACACGGATGGGAATGGTGGATAAAATTATTATGGCTCTTCTGCTTTCTCGCACATCACGTGGGTTTCAATTAGATGGGAAATCATCACTAGGGAATAGCAACAGCAAAAGTATTAATGGTAGTGGTAGTACTGGTAATAGTAGTCATAGTAGTGAAGCTAATGCACTTTCTACAGAAACAGTATACGCTAATTTTGCAGCTAGAGCCCACTTGGATACTGGAAAGGTGAAGAAGGTAATGCAGATGGCAACAGATAATCTTAACGCCATTGTGGTAGAGTTTAATGCTGTTTCTACTGCAGAGACTAATGGTGATAATAATAATAATAATAATAATAATAATAATAATAATAATAATAA